AAGGTTAGCGGTGGATGTGGGGAGTGGAGGGTGGGGGAAAGACTCTTGGTTTTCCTACTTTAGTCTCTGGTTTAGGCAGGCCCTGTGCACCTGAGTCTCCATGGGGACTTTCTCCGCCTTCTCAGTGACATACAACCCTGTCTCCTACTCAGTGCTCAAGTGGGTTAGTCAAAATCTGCTTTGTATCAATGCAGGATTCTGGATTTGAAAGGTATCCTGCCCTCACCTCTTCAGTGACTTAGTGCATGGTGAATACGTTAGGTTTTCTTGCCAACCCTCACACCCCAAGACAAAGAAGATTTTGCTGGAGTCATGGCAGGGATTAGGAATGTGATGATTTGTTGCACCTCTCCCAGGAACAGATGACTTTTGCCTCATGTCACTCAGAGCCCTGTCCAGGGTGTGGAATCTCTTGTTTCTCCCACAGCAGCAGCCAGCTCTTACTTTATATCAGAGGAGATCTCGGGGCATCTACAGGTTTTGCGCCTGTCTCCCTGTAGCGGTTGATCACCACCTTGTACTTGTGCAGGGCCCAGAGCGTGGATGGTATGGCTGCTCCACCCTCGAACTTTCTGCAGGTCCCGCATGAGCCTGCACCACCCGTGGGGCTCTCTCAGGTCTCCTACCCACCTCCATCTTTCTCATGAACAAAGAGCTATTTAGGGAGTGCAAGCTCTCCTTGTGCCAAGGGCTCCCAGGGATGCTGAACTATCACGTTATCCCATAATCAGGCTTTACAAATTTGTTGATTTACTAAGTGTTTTCCTCTTATCCACCTATATGGCAACACCTCTTCTTCCTTTGCTCTACCAAGAGAGAAAGAGTTTGTATGCCCCATCTTTCCTCGGAGGGGCTCATCACCCTTTGGAATTCAGTTCACCTGATAATCAGCTCAAGTGAGGAACTCAGTCCCTGAGGAACTCCAAAGAATTTATTCTTTTAAAAGCTGTGCAGCTTTTCCCCACATATGGTGAAGGCAACATTCTCTTGCAATTTTGCTTCGTCTTAAAGAAGAGCAGATCTCCTGCTTCCTTTTTAAGAAACTTTCAAACAATTTTAACACGGCCTGCAAAACCCTGCATAGTCATATTTGCTGTCTCTCTAGCCAAATCTTATATCACTCTCCCCCTCCCTCCCTCACTGTGTTCTCTCAAGTCCTCAATTGTGCCAAGCTCTTCCCCATCCCAGAACCTTTGCACACACACTGTTCACTGAACCTACAGTGTTCTTCCCCTTCTTTGTACCTGCATAATTCCAGCTCCTCCAGAGAGCCTGCCTTGATGCAACACCTCCCCTTCCATCCAAACTGGTGCATAGATTACTTCTTCATTCTTTTCAATAGCTGGGCAATAGCCCATTATCCAGATATATTGTTTTAATTTAATCAACTCCCCTTGGTGGTTATTTAGATTATTTCTTGCCTTTTGTTTTTATAACTAATAATCTTACATATAAAGCATTTCTATAGGATAAATTGCTAGAAGAATTTCTGTATTAAACGATACATGAAGACAGATCAGCATTGTGCTTAAGAGTCTGGGCTATATCACCTGCCAGCTGTATAACCTTGGGCAAATGATTTGACCTTTCCCTCATTCGTAAATAGAGATAATAACAGTACCACTCAAGATTGTTGTGAGGCTTAGTGAGTTGGTACACACATAGAGCTTAGAACGGTGTCTAGCACATAACCACTCAATAAATGTCAAAGGTTATCATTAGCATTTAAGATTTAAGATAGTGTCAACTCATAAGTATATTATCAATTTATTCTTCCATCAGTATGAGAGTGCCTCCTCACACCCTCAATACTGTGTCTTATTAAACTACTTTTTCATCTTTGCTAGCTTGAACATGAAATATCATAATAACTTAATTGGTATTTCTTTTATTAAGAGTGAAGGTAAGCATATTTCATATGTTTAAGTTAATTTGTGTCCTGTGTCCTGAATGTTCCATGAGTTCCAGAGACTCCAATTTGTCATTGACTTTTTTTCTTACTGATTGTAGGAGTTTTTTACATATTAGAGACTTTAGCTTTTGTCTTTTATGAGTTAGTCTTTCATAGTATTCAATAATTTTCCTTCATCAGACTTATTTTTATTTTTAATGTTGTATTTATTTATGATTATTTTTTAAAGCTACATAAGATCAAGATCCATGTTTATTTGTTCATCATTGTATATTGAGCACTAAGTAAAATGCTAAACGCATAATAAATGATCAATAAATATTTAATGAATAAGCCAAATATGACAAAGAGAATCTTGGTACATAAGGAGACTGGGAAACTGGAAGGGAACTATTTTGTATGGAAATGTAATAAGTTTGTTTGAGATATGTGAGTTTTAGGTGACAGCTAGTATTCAAAGTTGAATATGTATGATATTCTTATTTGGCAAGATACTCAGGAAGATTTGGGAGTCATCACCATGAAGTGGTTGATTAGAAACATATGATCTCTGATGGAAAGAATGTTATGTGAGAGTTCATAGACAAACACTTCCAATCAGAAACAATTTCAAGTGATTAGAGTTGTCATAACAATTGTAAAACAAATATGAGAAGAAAAGGAAAAATAGAAGCATTACGTATTTGCAACTATAAAGATATGGGGAATATAGAAAAATTTTAATGCCTTGGAACAATAATGATTATTGAAGAGTATTTAGATAATATGTTATTATAATTATGCTCAAATTACTTATTGTGAAGAAAAGAAAATCTTTAGTAATAGAAAACTGGGTCCATCATAATTATGTAAGCTTGTGGAAATCAAAGTGCTCTTTTTATATGAAGTAGGCTTTTTGGTATATCAATCTATTGTGTTTTTCAGTTTATAATAGGACATTGATTATGTTTTCTATTACTGAACTATCACTGATAGTTACTATCAAATTAGTCTCCAAGTCTATTTTTTATAGATTATATTAACTACATGAAAAAAAGAAGAAACCATTCAGTCTTCTAAAAAGAAATGCTTATTTTTTCAGAACAGAGAATTTATCCTAAAATAAGCTATACGTATTATTTAACACACAGGAATATCTTAATGGCTACAGTCATCGAAGAACCATTTGACGTCAATGGCTATGAGTTGGTACCTCTAATAAATCTGTTGTAAAGTTATAGTCTTTGTTTAATAATTGTAAGAAAGAGATCAGGGCAGGACTTCTCTTCTGAGGGCATAAGGGATGTGGGATCCCAGTGTCAATCTATTTTTAAATGATCCTGTGGATTAAAAGATACTATATTTAAAGTATACATATTTTTCTCCTTTTCATTAAAATATATGATTTAAGAAATTAGAAATATAGATATAATTCTGCTGGACAGACAAGTGAATCATTTAGACAAAAGCCTTGGTCAGGTTAGAATGACTTTTGACTTAACTTTGAGCTGTCTTTGCCTTACTGATCAGAAATCCTGGCATTTCTCGACATTTTCGTCATGAAAGCCAGGTTTTTATGCACAGTCATCAGATTCATCCTTGCAGGTGAGGGGCTTGTCAGTGATGAATGAAGTGATCTGTAACAAAGACTCAGAAAATGTGAAGAAAGGAAATAAATCTGCCTAAAGTGGGGCGGCGGCAGCAGTTTATCATGGTCTGTGTGACTGAGCACACACTGGCAGTGGCACCTGAGGAGGTGTACATAGTGTCATGTCAGGGCTTTTAAGAAGCCAGTCAGTTGCTTATGCTAAATTCTCAGAAGTGCTTATTTTCTAATTAAAACAGGAACATTTATTCATTAAGAGAGAAAAGAAACTCCTAGATGGCCTGTGTTAATCTACGTAATAGTTACGTAGGCAATAGTTACAAATTTTTGACCAGAGTATTATTGTATACAACTTCTGTTAAAAGACTGGAGATAAATATAAAATAAAGCTTCTTTTGTTTTCCTTAATTGTAAAAACAACATCCATCTTCTCAAAAGATATTCTCTACAAAGCAAATGGTGATAGAGTAAGGTTTTATTTCATATAAATAGTTACTGTCCCTGAATTCTTGCCCTGCCTCTTGCTGGCACTTGGGTAGATGGAAGTCAGTGGTCTGTTGTTATAGCTCAGTAGCTTTCTAAAGAAGTAGGCTACCTAAGTCAAGGAATCTGTCCTGTAGTGTGTTTATCTATCTTGTATCCATCAAAGGAACCATGATAAGCCAATATCAAAGGACTGATCCCACAGGTCAGTTAAAATCCTTAGCAGTACTCAGAGATGGAGTGGAGGGATAGAAACCATGTGTTCTAGGGTATTCTAATTGGAATATAAGAGAATGTGACTGCCTCAATACGATCTTGTTTTCTTGGTGTGATGAGGACAAAAACTTATCCATTTGCAGAAATATGGCCAAATAATTGCTTGCTTACTTCAATCTGTATTTCTTTATAGCTATTTTCAATCCCATTACAGAACTGGAAGCTATGTTTAGAAAATTGTTTGTCCATTTATGTTTAGTGCACAGAATTCTTAATTGACAAAATATAATACCACAGTCTATTGTAAATCACTTTGCAAAACTTTTGAACTTCATAAGGAATTTTACATTGTCCAAAAGCTGCTTTCAAACCCATGCTGATCTGGCATTCATGCACCATTCCCTATGGAGTTGAGTGAAAGAACGTAAAGGCAGCCAATTAAAGAAACTGAGCCAGAATAGACGAGCAGAGGCCATCTTGTCCATCCTTTGCCTCCAGGCAAAAATCATCCCCTGCACCAAAAATTTTTGCTTGAATCCTGCTAACAAAAATGCTCATCACATGTAAATGACGACTCATAATCCAGTTACTGCAGCTAAAGCAGATCGTTAACTGTTCAGGACTTATTTGTTGTGTTCTAAAGATGCTGAGGAAGAGAGTGCATCTGAATTGTTTTAACTCCAAAATTATTTTTGTACAAGAAATGTACTCAAATAATTGTAAAGATGTGGGAAGTTTGTGTCCAGAAATAAAGTTATCTTTTATCATCTTATTAAATATATTTTTGGTTTCCTTTCATTCTAGATCTACCTTACGGGTGGGAGGAAGCTTACACAGCAGATGGAATCAAGTACTTCATCAAGTAAGTACAAGCATCTCAACCAAGTAAGCAATTTTTTCACATCTGGAGAGAACCTGGGAGTTGCAGAATAATCAGCAAAACCAAGAAACCCTTTTGGAGGTTACAAAAATTAGAAACAAGAAATGAAGCCTCTCCATTTTCATTTCATGTGATTTAAATGCTAATATCAGATATCGTTTGGGGGGAGGAATATCCGTAATAATTTCAAGGGAAACATCAAAAAATTAGAACAGGACCATCATTTGAACTTAAATATCGACTGCCTGTATTCACTTCTGACTAAAAGTATTAAGATTTATGAAATACTTTTATTAGTTTTAAAACTTCTTAATAATACTACTAATAATCAACATTTGTAATGCTTTACAGTGTACACGTTCATTCCTCTGATTTATTTTTTGAGCAGAGTAGATGCCCAATAAATACTCATAAATTTACAATATGGAGAAACTGTTATGGTGAAAAAAAAAAAACATGAAAAATCATGCTACCATTAACAACATTGAGAATCTAAAAGCTTCGTATTTGAAAAGATTTCAGGAAAAACTAGGGATAAACTGTCAAAGTATTGTCATGATGTATTTTTTTTTCTTGTAGTCTCCAGCAAAAAAGTAACTAATAAAGCAAAGGTGTAGTTTATAACATGTGAAGGATATCAGGATTTTCAGAGCAGAGGGTCCAAGAATTCCATGCATAGATTACGTTTAGTACCGTACTGTTCACTTCTTGAATTATAACTCTTCTGGAAGGGAAGCTGCACTCTATATGCTGTGTTAACTGTTTAGTTCCCAGAAGATTGAATCACTGTGCTGTAGGGGAGGCAGGAAAATGAAAAACCACATTTAAATTTGCACTGGGTTTCTTTCTCATATTAACTTTGTGATGAATAAAGGAAAAGATATTGGGGCAGGGGCACATTTATTGAGCACTAGCTGGTGTTGAATAGCCAAGCATATGTTAGGCATATTTTTCTATGCGTCGTATCATTAAAGCCTCTTAACACTGTAGAAAGTGGACATCACTTAGCTCTTGTTAGGATGGTATTATGATGGTAGTGAGCTACTTCCTGCCCTCAGCTTTGTCTATCTCCCAGAAGATGTCCAAAACAAATGCCCTATCAAAGAAAGGCAAACTAGCATTTATTACTAACTGGGGTTCTGAATCCAAAGGCCTTTGTAAAATATCAGTAAATGAGTCTGAACCCTGTGGAGAACTCCTTGACCTAAGCTTAGCCTTAGCCATCTGTTATTATACCCCAACCCAAAGGTGAGTGTCAGAGCCTGACTAACGTTATCTGAGGAAAGGATACTAAAGACACACAATCACTGACTACCACAAAAAAGGAATAGCCTTGGACTGGTCTCCTACTATAAGGGAGAATAGCATCCAAAGAGAGGAAAGAAGAGAATGACTAAATAAATCCTTTGACTGCTTTGAGATCTAACTGATAATCCCTGTGGAAGGAATAGAAAGAGACCATTCTAGTTGTAGAAAATATATTCCTTAGGGTGTGTTTTTAGAAGCCCATCAATTCCTTTCTTTGGACTTAATCTCGACTCATAACGAAAGCAGAAAAGACATGATAAGATAGATTTGTTTCCCAAAGGACAATGGTGGGTATCATTGTCTCACTATTACAGTTGGAAAAACTATGTGGAAAAGAAGTTAAATTTGTCAAGGCCACACAGTAGTAAAATTTCAGAGTCAAGATACAGACCGAGGGTTGTCTGGCTCCAAAGTGACCCCCAACATACACACACACATACACTGCACCACCTTCACCTCCTTATTTTAATATAATATATTTACCTGTGACAAAAAAAGATATTTTAAACAGGTCTTAATTTAGGTAGAGCTCTATACTTTATCCATTTTAAAACAGCAAAATAGAAACAGTTCTAAGAATAAGTCGTTATCTCCTGGATATTAGAAAAAGTCAACTAGTAAAGATAAGTGCTTCCTTTACCCATCCTCATGAAGGAATAGGGTGCTTACTATGAGTTGTTTTGTTGTTGTTTGTTTTTGTTTGTTTGGTTTGTTTGTTTGTTTGTTTGTTAGCTAGAAGTTAACCCTATTCAAGCACCAGTGCTTATTTTGGCCTAACTGTTCTTGATAAAAGTCTTATTAATAAGTGTTACATAGTTTCCTGCCTTCTTACACCAAGGCCACTGAACAAAAACAAATCATTGCAAACATCAATCTTATATATAATACAGTGAGTTCTGCAGAGGGATATTAAGCTGAATACAGACACAGCTGCCATCTCTCTGCTCTCAACGTGCCTGTCCATCCCTTCATCCCTATTGTTCTTTTTTATCCTCTACGTACTTCACCATCTTCCCTAGGAAGAGGACAGGTCACCAGAAAATCAGACTTATTTGAATTGCTTGTAAATAGCCCTTGAGTGTGTTGTACATGGGTTTGTATGTGAATCAGGTACATAAGTTCTGGTACGGGTGGATTTGATATCAGAAAGGGCATGTAGTATGGGGCAGCGGTGCCTAGCCTATTTAGTTCCAGGGACTGGTGCTCCTATGAGAATCTAATGCCTGATGATCTGAGGTGGAGTTGAGGTGGTGATGATAGTGGCTGCAAATACAGATGAGGCTTCACTCACTCACCCACTGCTTACCTCCTGCTATGTGGCTGGGTACCTAACATGCCACAGACCGATACCGGTCCATGGCCGGTTGGGGGCCCCTGGTATAGGGGAAAGAAGAACATGCACCTTGGAGCTGGAGAAACTTGGGTTCAAATGCTGGTGTCTTCATAGACTAGCTGGACACATATCCATAGAACGACCTTGGACACGGATACTTAACCTCTCTGAGCTTTAATTTCCACATTTATAGAATGAGAAGAATATTAGTGCTTCATAGGATTCATGTCTAGAATAAATGAGCTTAGGTATCAAAAGAACATAGCACCTGACCCAAAAAAAGACACTTTCAGCAAAGGTAAGCCCTCCTCACTCCCTCCCCTCACTCTAACATTTCCACGGGGGTTACTTCATGGCTCTTAGCTGCATTCAGATAGGTGATGTTGCCAGATAAGCAAACATCCACTATATGTCTTTCTTGAAACTTTGTTTTTGTTTTTTAGCTTTTTGTTCTGTTTTCTAATCTTTATCCTCCCACTACCCCAACCAAAATTTGAGCCTGGATAGCCTGTGTTAGGTTTTGAGGTAGGAGTGGTTCATTTACCAGATAAATATACTTTGGAGGCAAGAAATATCAAGTAATGAACTCAGGCCATTGCCTCTCTCACCTTTGCTTAAAAAGAACAATGATTAAAATCACCCTTTCGGAACACCAGAGGAGATGGTCTCAATGCATGTAATCTTTTCCTTGAGATGGAGGAGATGATGGTCCGTATGCATATAATCTTTTCCTTGAGATTGACATCTGTCACTGTCTTCCCAAAAACTGAGTTGTTACATCTGATGGAAGCCAAGCCTCAGGCAAAGAAATAACTGTCGGTGCTGTCCTAAGAATGCTCAGATGAAAATAGTCCTCATTGAGTATTCCTATCCATCCACTTGTCCATTGCACAGCTATTAATACTTTGTAGTTATCTATTTAAGTTCTGATGCAGGAGAAGGAAGTATTTTACCTGGTATACACAAATTTATTCAAAATGTTGGCATTGCTAGAGTGTTTCATAGAACTAAAAACATGTATGTCTCTATGTGTATATACCAGTACATGTATGCACATAATGCATATAGGCAGGGTTTGCTCATTTGATATATGTGTGTGTGTGTGTATGTGTGTGTGTGTGTATTGTCTCTCTCTCTCTCTAATTATATACATACATATATATATAAAGCATTCAAGGGAAAACTTTTTTATTTTCTTCTTAGAAAGAAAGTTGCAGCATTCTTAAACTTAATGACAAAATGTCATTATCTTGATGGTGCTATAATGAAATTATCTGATTAACTTGACCATTTTTCTTCCCAACTTCTCATCTTCCCTTTGAAGTTGTATACTATTCCAGGTTTATAGTAGTCTTCAGTATGATTCCATTCTAAAAGTTCATGTACTTTATACATATGTTATATAATTTGACAGAATTGTTATGTGAGTTATGTTTGATAGTAAAGCGAATTTAAATATTGCAGATTGGGCATAGCTGCCACATTGCTTTCATTGTACTCTTTTATTTTTTATTGAAGATTCAGATTTATTATGATCAGTGATCATAATTGTATTAATTTTCTATTGCTGCGAAGTTTTACAGCTTAAAACAATAAATATTTATTTTCTCATTCACTTTCAGAGGATTGAGAATCCAGGTGTAATTTTGCTAGATCATTCTGGTTCTCTCTCTGGGTTTCTCATAAAGTTGCAGTCATGCTGTTAGCCAGAGCTGGGAATTGAAGAATGGCTTAGTGGGATTGGCGTATTTTTTCCACGTTCACACATGTGGCTGTTGGCAGGAGGCTTTATTTCCTCACCACGGCGTGGACCTTTCTCTGTAGGGCAATAGGGGTGCCCACAAAAGCAAGGGACAAAAGAAAAAGTATGAGAGAAATATCAAGACAAAAGCTGCAGTGGTTTTTATAACCTGTCTCAGAAATGAGTGACATACCATCACTTCTGCCATACGCTATGGGTCATGCTGACCAACCCTGGTACACTGTAGATAGCAATTATACAAGGGCGTGAATGCCAGAAGGTGAGGATCACTGGGAACTACCTTAGAGGCTGCCTACCACAGTGCTGCTTCATATATAATGTGTGTAAACTATATAAACAGTACAAAATTCTCAGTATCAGATACTTGCCTCAAACATTCGATTATACCTTGGTGACTTTTCAGATAGGTATAATCATTTGTTTTTAAAAGTTCCTTAAACTTGGCTTATAATTCTCCATTCTTTTTGTTGTTGTTGTTGTTGTTGTTGTTGTTGATATGCCTTTAATCAGATTCTAAAATCTAAGATATTGCTCTTCATGCTATAAAACCCGTATTCCATTTCATGGGATGGATTGTAC